TCTTCCCAGGCACGGAGGTGAGGTTAACAGGCCGGTAGTTCCCGGGGTCCTCATTTCTACCCTTTTTAGAAATGGGTGCAGTGTTAGCCTTTTTCCAGTCACCGGGGACTTCCACCTGACTGCTATGACTTTAAGTATCATGGAGTGTGGCTTGGCCACTACATCAGCTGGTTCCCTCAGGACTCTCAGATGCATCTCATCTCGTCCCATGGAACGTATGTACCTCCAGGTTCCTCAGGTGGTCACAAACATGATCTTCTCTTACAGTGGGAGGGGCTTTGCTCTCCCAGTCTGTGTCTTCCGGCCCATCCCCTCGAGAGGTGTAGGAAGAGAGGTTGCTAGTGAAGACTGAGGCAAAAAAGTTAAGTATTTCAGCCTTCTCCTCATCTGCTGTTGCCAGCTTGGCAGCCTTGCTCATCAGAGCAGGTACACTCACTCTCTTTGACCTTTTTTTTTACAGACCTGTAGAAGCCTTTTTTGTTATTCTCAGCATCCCTCGCCAAGTTCAGCTCCAGCTGTGCGTTGGTCTTCCTGACCCCATCCGTCCACAACCGGGCAGTGTCCCTGTACTCTTCCCAGGATACCTGACCCTGTTTCCACTGCTTATGCATTCATTTTCTTTTTGCCCCTTAGTTTGAGCCACAGGTCATGACTCAGCCACTCTGGTGTCTTGCCTGTCTTACCAGACCTCTAGCACCTGGGGATTGAGAGCTCTTGCACACTCTGGAAGGCATCCTTAAATATCTGCCAGCTCTGATCTGCACCCTTGTCCCTGAGGGCACTTTCCCAGGCAATCCTTTCAACTAATTCCTTGAAGACCTGGAAGTTTGCTTTCACAAAGTTCAGGGTCCTGATTTTACTCTTTGATTGGCCCATATCCCTCAGGACCCTGAATTCTACCAGTGTGTGGTCGCTACATGCCAGGCAGCCTCCAACCTTGATGTCCCCAACTAAATAGTACTTTAAAAAAGGATTTATAAATTAAACAAATACTTCCTGACACTTGGGTTTAGTAAGTAGGCATTTTCAGTACATGATTGTTGTGCAGACTGTGATACTTCGAAAGTTGAATGTCTTTGGTATTAACGCAAATAAACTGGTACATACATTAAATAAAGACTTTCTATGGTGGGTTCATTTTTTAAAAGCAATTTTACTTGAATGCTATTGAGAGTGTTAGAGCAGAGAAGTTATGTCAGTATAGCTGGGTAGATACAGTAGCATGCAAGTGTTTTAACTCTTACGAAGTTCAGTAGTGGTAAAGTGTCAAAGTGAATGTCAGCATGGTTATGAAATGGCGGCACACTTTGTAACTACTTCATTGTGCTTGTAGAGCGAAATCATTCGAGATAATCCTGGCATTCTGGACTGCGTGAAAGAAGGAATCGGCAGAGTTGTAGGCATGGGAGTACCCCATAGCAAGCGTCTCCTTCCTCTGATGGTCTTGACATTTCCAACTGCTCTACATGGAGTTCTTCACTACATCATCAGTTCCATTGTCCAGAAGCTTGTTTTGTTTGTTCTAAAAAGGTATAATTCCCACAACCTTCCAACTGAGAGCTCCACTTCTGTGCAGAGCATGCTGGATGCATATTTTCCTGAACTTATTGCTAGCTTTGCTGCTAGCCTTTGTGCTGACGTCATGCTTTACCCACTGGAAACCGTTTTGCACCGTCTTCATATTCAAGGAACACGCACAATAATTGACAATACAGACCTTTGCTATGAAGTGCTTCCAATCAATACTCAGTATGAGGGAATGAAAGACTGCATAAATACTATAAAACGGGAAGAAGGAATGCTAGGTTTTTATAAAGGATTTGGAGCTGTTATAGTACAGTACACCTTGCATGTGGCAGTTTTACAGCTCACCAAAATTATTTACTCAACACTGCTGCAAAACATTTCCTAATCTAGTTAGGTGCAGATATAGCCAAAAAAAAAAGGCTTAGAAAATGAAGAATCCACTCTGTGGATCCTCCTTACACTGTAAAAGAACTTGTATTAAAAATGGGGATATAAATATAAATTCCAAAGTGTAATTAAAAAAAAGTACTGTTTAAATTTAAAATTACAGACACACATTGAATATATAACGTGCACTCATATAGAAGGGAATCAGATTCCAGTGTGGTTGGAGTGAGGATTTAGCTTTCCTTTTACCAGTTAACTGACCTGAGGAATGGATGTGAATTCTTAATGTCTGCTTTTATAAACATCATGTCTGATATTTAATTTGGACTGCTAGACAGTTCAGAGGAATTTATTTTCATGAGTTGTAAGAACCTGTAAGTGAGAGACTGATGGGTTTACTGGTGTTTTAAAATGTTTCCAACTTCACTGTTAATGGAGCTGTGAACAAAAGAGAAGGTGTAAAAGTAACTTTAGTAGACATGAATGTCATAATTTACAGGTTCCTAGAAGACTACTTATGTTGCAGTGTGACAGAAGATGAAGATTTTTGTACAAAATAACAAAAACCTGAGTTTGGGCAAAGTTGCACAAATGCAAGTTTGTATTGCAGTTTGTTTGGAAGGCTTACAGTAACTAAAGTGTGTGAATAAAGCAAATTAGAAACTGTTGTGTGTGTGTGTAAGTGCCATTTTCAGTCAACTTTCCACTCACAACTTCAGGGTTTAGTTTGCTGCTTTGCATAAGAGTAGAATAATCTTACAAATGTATTTAGTGTCAGTGTTCAGAGTGTATAGAAATCCTAAGAAATAAATTGGCTATTTCTAGAGTTTCTCTTTTATTAGATTTGAGAGGTAAGTACACAATTATCTACTTACTATTTAGCACTTATGTCCTTCATTTGAAGTCTCTACAGGATTAGATATTTTGTGGAGCAGAATTAAGTCTGTTCATGTGCAAGCAAACTACTGAAATGTACAATTTTTGCCCTCTTCCCCTAATAAATCAAGGCTTTCAGTCTGAAAATGAGTTCTAGTCATTCTAAAAAACTTAGCCCTTCTTGATTTCATCTGTAAATATAATGAAAGTTTGGGAGAGGGCAATGATTTTTAGCAAATAAAACAAGCGCATGGAGAGTCACTTTTAAAATATATGAGAGGCTGCTGCCTTTTTCACACTTTCAAGTATATCTTTGTGCGTACTGTAAATTGATGTGCATTTTAATCACTAATCAATGTAAAATAGTTATCACTTATGGAAAGTAGTCATGGCAAAATAATTAAAAGGTGTTGCTGTTCGTAAGTTCTGACTTTAAATAATTTGCAGGTCTGCTTTGCTATTAATCTAACTTCCATGTATTTTAAATTAGTAACTGTTGAAAGTATAGTGAACTTGGGAACTGGTTTTCTTTTGAAATATTGTTAATCGCAAATTTAGTGTATAGAATGGAAACAAATAAAATGAGAATTCACTGTAAATATTTTGAAGTAGTTCATTGAAGAGACATATAAAGGAATCCTGATTTGTGTTATATTTTATTATATAGGCTTCAGAGTGGCTCTTTCAAGTTCCTCAATTTCCTAAGAACATGTTGAATTAAAACTAAATGTAAGAATGTGGGTAAAATATTCCATTCCTGGTTTGTATTTTTAAAGTTTCTATGAATTTGAAGAGGGAGCCGTACTGGAGAATCATCTGGATTGGAAGGGGTCTTGGCACCTTGTCTAGTCCAAATTCCTGCTCTAAGCAAGGACAACATTGACTTCAGACCCCATTGTGCAGGCCCTCGTCCAACTGAATTTTTAATTTCAACTTTTAATCCAAAAAGCCAGCCTTTTCAAAGGTGTTAAATTCAGCTGAACCCATCTATTCCGTCACAGTTGCCTTGAAGCAGTAACTAAGTGCATGTTGGAGACCAACACTTGCAGATTTATCAGTGAAATTGGGCGATAATGTTTTTCTAGGAATAAAATTTTAGCAAAGGCATTTTGTCGTATGAAATGGAGGGCATGCCTTTATATATTCTGCAAGAGGGAAGATAGTGAGTTCTCAGAACAGCACTAGATACTGTGCTAGAATATTGACTTGTGTCAAACGTGCTTGCTTTTATTGCTGGGAGTTTTATGGTTCTGGTCTTTGCCAGAATCTTAGATATTTAAGCAGGGTGAGAAAGAATGCTGTCAACTTACAGCAGCTGTTCTGCAGTAGGAAAGCCATTTGCTTTGGGCTACTCTTTTTTGGTCCTCTTCCCATCAGTTAGAATGAACATGTTTTGATTCTTCATGTATACTTGCTTTACCTTCCAAAAAAAGTTAATACTCTGCTTTGTCTGCAGTGGCTATTTTTGCCCATACAAAAATATAAATGAATGTAGGGGAAAAACATATTTTTTAATCTTTTTAATCATAATTGTACAGTTAATGTATTTCTATTTTCATTTGGATCTTAAATCTAGATACCCCATATTTAGCTCAAATGAGTGATCAATAGGTAGCTTTATCAGTATGCACCACTGAAATCTGCATAATACTGACTTACTGTAGAAAGTAAGTTTTTCATTTTCTGGAATATGAAAAGTTCTTATGCACTGTATTTTTCATATTTCGTAGTTACTTTTTTGTACATTATTTTTCTGAATTTTTTTCTTCGTTTGTAAAGAACAGAGCTGATTTCAAAGAAGATAAATGTTACTGAAGAAAGACAGACTCAGTGTAATGTTCCCACCCAGTGAGGAATTACTTGGCTTCTTACCCATGCCTCTTAAAAGGCAATCCTTGATGTGAGGTAACTGACAATAAACTAGGCAGGAAACTTTGCAATATGAGGCCTGCTGGAAACCATTGCAATTGTTTGTGTTGTTTCACAGACTGCCTTAACAATCAGATTTGACTTGAGGTTCTGTTAGAATACAGCTTTTAGGTTTTGTGTTGGTGCAAGTACTGCATTCTCCGGCAAAGTTCCAGCTGCGTTCTTTTAGCAGATCTGCTTTGCTGCACGTTAGTTAATGTATCTCTGGGTCCTATGTGTAGTACACGGGATGTGGAGTGTGTTTTAGAGATTTATGCAGAATTCTTTAGACTTGGTATCAAATTATATGCTTTTGTTAGCTCCTCTGAATTTGGCAGCAAGTTCAAAGCAAGTATGTAAGCTAATGTCGTTGCTGCTTGTTCCGTCTGAGATGGTCTTTCAGCTGGATACACACCTTCAGCTACGAACATGAGCAGTGCACCTGATGGAAATGAGGCCTGTCTCTGCATTAATATACAAGTTCTTGGTATGCTCTAAGATTTTTGTTGGTATAATTCAGGGCTAGAAATTGTCACTTTCATACTATTTACCCTTTCTATGATATTCAAGGAGATATTCAATGTTACACTAAATTTTTCAACTAAATAGTTGTTTCTAAGAGATTTGAGAGCAGCACGTAACAGCAGCATTCCATCACCTGTATGGGAGAGGTGGTAGCAAAATGTGAATAAACCATTTGTCTAGTTCTGTTTTAGAAGATGTAATACATATCTCTGGCAGTGGCAGAAGAAGGTAAGATCCTTATTTAATCAAGAACTGGTGATACCTATGTTTTAAAAGCAAATCTGATTTTAATGAGTTGGATAAAACTATTTTTAGATTTTTTTTTTGATGGAATAAAGATCATCTGCTCTTTACCTTCAGCACTCCAGCCTTTCCAGAGCGAATTTGGCAAATTGTGAACAAAATTTGAGGATGGGAAAGAAGCAATGTTGAAAATGGCATGTAGAGATTGCCAAAAAAATGCAGATAAGCAAAAGCTGGCAATGTTCTCAGTTGCAACCAATTAATAAAATAAAAAAGTAGAAATGTCCAAATGTTAGTATTTATGGGGGGTTTCATTTGGAAGTCTGTTTCTGTCTTTATCTTTCAAAAGGTGTTTTTAAAGATAAGTTAAAATGACAAAACATTTTAAGCCCAACATACCCTTTTTTTTTTCCCTGATACTGAGAAACTAACTCAACTAAAAAGTCAGTTATTATTTCAGCTTTTGCAATAGGAAAAAAAAAAAAAAGCCATCTGCATCTTCCCTTCAAACCAAAGCACACTTTCAATGGATGTAAATACAGCAGTCTGATAGTGTAGTTAAAAAATACTTAAAAAAAAAAAATTATTACTCAAACTGCCAATGAGTTGGCTGCAGCACACATTGCCTGTGGCAGCTTGATCTGGGTGAGATAATTCTTCATGCTTCTCTTGTTTTCAAAGTGTATGGAGAGAATGTGGTTTATGCCCACAAAAGTAATAAACTCAGAAGGGATGGTTAAGTTGTTACCTGAAGTTCTGAGTTTTGCTTTCATTTCACATCCTTAAGCTTGGCAGTAAGGCAAGTCCAGAGCAAAAGGACTTGTTGGACAGGACTTGACTCTGTTCTCCGTAGGACTTGCAGGTCTTTGCCCAGACTGAATATCCAGAAGCAACAGGCTTATAAACTGGTGTTCCTGATTCTTGGTTTAAGGGTACATCCAGAACAGAAAAAACAGTAGATTGCTTTTGCTACAGCAGTGAGTGTAGCTCAAGTTTTTGATCCCTGAAACAGAATCCTAAATTTGTGTATGTAACATTTGAGCCTTCAAGCACGTTGTGTAGCAAGAAGCACCAACATGCACAGTTGCCTTGATTCCCAGCTCCTACCTGATATTAGCTCTATTCAGTGCCATTCAAAATGGGTGTGACGCCCTTGATGTCCATACAGGCCACTGATATGTTTTACGGTCTCTAGAGGTACAGGTATTAGTCTAAACTGTTGAAAAGTATGAGCACAGGCAGGATTTCCGGGGGTTCTTATATGTGGCTTAACTTTATGTATGCCAAGTGAGGCAGAAGAGAAAAACAGATGAAGGCAATGGGAAAGAGGATTCTTGAAACTTAAATATGTGCTTACTAACATGAGCACCTTGACAAGGAAGTACATGTCACTTTAACAGCTATTTGAGCACAGTGGAGGGAAGGAGAGAATTTCTGGTGTGGCTA